GGGGCGGGGATCCGGGCGGTGGGGGGTTGTTTCGCGGCTGCAGCCCCCTTCTCACCCACGGCCCGGGCCCTGCTACCTCAGGGGGAGTGACCACGGTGAGGACCAGGGGTGATTTGCTGGGATCCAAAGACCGGAGAGGAGGGGGGACATCGGGAGGAAGCTGGGGGCAGATGATGGATGAGGAGGGAACTGGGCACCTCTGAAAGGGAACTGCCCCTCTCCTGACCTCTCCACCCCTTTCACACCCCTAGCTGCCTGTGGAAGAGCCAATTGTGTCCACAGATGAGGTCATCTTCCCACTCACTGTTTCACTGGATAGACTGCCCCCCGGGACACCTAAGGCCAAGGTAAGATTGGCAAGGGGTGAAGCTCTCCTCACTCAGATGTCCTCTCTGAGGCTGGCTGCCTCTCCTCTTGACTGTGGCCCTGTGTCCCTTTGCTCAGATTGTAGTAACTGTGTGGAAGCGGGAGGTTGAGGCACCAGAGGTCAGAGATCAAGGCTACCTGCGCTTGCTGCAGACCCGATTTCCTGGGGAGACCTTCCGGGGAGAGCAGAGTGCTTTCAAGGCCCAAGGTGGGGAGAACGCAGGGAGAAAATGCTGGAGCGGCATTAAGAGGAATGTTAGAACTGTGGGTTGGAGGTGAGGTCTGTGCCCAGGCCCAGCCCATCCGTTCTTGCTCTTGCTCCTGCTCTCTCCCGCAGTGAGCACCCTGCTGACTCTGCTGCCCCCTCCAGTTCTGAAATGCCGGCAGTTCACTGTGGCTGGAAAACACTTGACTGTTCTCAAGGGTGAGCAGATTGGTGGCTAAGGTCTTGGGTAGCAGCAAGGGCAATGACTGGGTGGCAGTTACTCTGTGCAGACTGGGGGGGAAAGGTTCATTTTGGGGGATTAAGGTGGGATCTGAGGGGTCCAGATAATCACTGCGCTGGTTACCTTCGACAGTGCTGAACAGCTCTTCCCAAGAGGAAATTTCCATCTGGGATATTCGTATCCTCCCAAACTTCAATGCCAGTTATCTACCTGTCATGCCCGATGGCTCTGTGCTGCTGGTGGACAATGTCTGGTGAGGTCCTGGGAAGGGGCAGGGCTGCAAAGTGGTGGGGCTGGGGGCAGGGCTGAGAGCTCTGGCCTGAAAAGACCCAGCTCTGTCCCCTTTCTTCTGAACTAGTCACCAATCTGGGGAGGTCTCCATGGGCTCCTTCTGTCGGCTTCCTGGTACCTCTGGCTGCTTCCCCTGCCCACTCAGTGCCCTAGAGGAACACAACTTCCTGTTTCAGCTGCGAGTGGGTGAGCAGCCACCTCCAGGGGCCAAGGAGGTGAGTATTAGGGGCTGGTGATTTCAAGGAAACAGGTTAAGAAAAAGCAGTGGGCCCTAGCTGGTTTGGCTTGGTGGACTGAAGGGTCCTGAGTTCGATTCCGGGCAAGGGCACATACTTTGTTTGCAGGCTCAATGCCCGGCCCTGGTCGGGGCTCATGTGGGAAACAACCCACATCGATGTTTCTCTCTCTCTTTCCCCCTCCCTTCCAGTCTCTCTAAAAATTAATGGAAAAATATCCTCGGGTGAGGATTAACAAAAAAATGAAAAAGCAGTGGGAGGGAAAGGCTAGGGTGTTACCTGAAGATGAGAGGGGATCTCTGTTACCCATGATGCTTCCCTCTGCTCCTCCCACAGGGCCTAGAAGTCCCCTTGATTGCTGTGGTTCAGTGGTCCACCCCAAAGCTGCCCTTCACCCAGAGCATCTACACCCACTACCGGTGAGTGTGTGGGAACCTTTGGTGGGACCACCCTGTTCACCTTTGTTTCAAAACACATACATCCTGCTTTCCCCTCCCACTGCTTCTAGCCTGCCCAGCATTCGCCTGGACCGCCCGTGCTTTGTGATGACTGCTTCTTGTGAGTCCCCAGTTCGGACCTATGAGCGTTTCACGGTGACTTACACACTGCTCAACAATCTCCAAGACTTCCTTGCTGTGAGGCTCGTGTGGACCCCGGAGCACGCACAGGCTGGTAGGCTGGGCCTTTGTCCCGAAGGAGGGGAGGGGAAAGGAAGAAGCCATGGAGGTGGGTGACATGTGGCAGGCTGCTTTGGCTCGTGTCACAGACAGAAAATTTAGAGAGGCAGCGAGGCAGGATGATTTAAGAGCACTGGCACTGATGCTAGCTCCCTGGTATGTTTAATTTCTACCTCCATCATTTATAAGCTGTGTGACCCTGGGTGGTTACTTACCCTCTCTGAACCTCAGCTCCCTCATCCCTAAAAAGGAGAAAATAATACTGCTCTCCCCCCCACCCCCACCATGAAGATGGTATGGTGATTTAAAGATTTAATGAATATGAAGTGGTTAGAATAGACCCCAGCACACAATAAATATCAGCTGTTATTTATAACATTTGGCAAAAGATATACTCAGTTTACTCCACAGGGTGACTTTGAAGATCAATCAAGACTGTGCTCCTGGAAGCCCCTTGCTGAGGAACACTATACAGATGTTTACTGGTCGCTGTTTCTGCCCCCCAGGAAAGCAGCTGTGTGAGGAGGACCGTCGGGCCATGCAGGCTGCCCTAGACTCCATTGTCTGCCACACGCCCCTCAACAACCTTGGCTTTTCCCGGAAGGGCAGTGCACTCACCTTCAGTGTAGCCTTCCAGGCTCTAAGGACAGGGCTCTTTGAGGTGGGTTGGGGAGGTGCCCACTGGAGAGGGGGTGGACGGTGTGGTGGGTGATGCAGAATGTTGGGATAGGAGGCATTAGGCCTGCTAGCTGCTGGAGAGGAAATACAATGGATGGCACTAAAGCCAGGCTAAAGGAAGGTGGACTTTAGGTCCAATATTGGTCTGCCAAGCGGAAAGGTGATTTGAAAGGAGGTCTGGGGCCTGGAAGCCAAGTGGGAATGCTGATCTGTGTCTTTCCACCCCAGCTGAGCCAGCACATGAAACTGAAGCTACAATTCACTGCTAGTGTGTCCCACCCTCCACCCGAGGCCCGGCCCCTCTCCCGAAAGAGCAGTCCCAGCAGCCCAGCTGTCCGGGACTTGGTGGAGAGGCACCAGGCTAGCCTGGGCCGCTCTCAGTCCTTCTCTCACCAACAGCCTTCCCGCAGCCACCTCATGAGGTATGGAACCAAAGGAGGGGAGCCACTGGACTCAGTAGAGGCCGGAATTGGAGCGGGAGCAGGAAGCGGTCCTGAGGTCTAACTAGAGCCCACGTTCTCTGCCTTCCTCCAGGTCCGGCAGTGTGATGGAGCGCAGGGCCATCACACCCCCTGTGGCCTCCCCAGTCGGCCGCCCCCTCTACCTGCCCCCAGAAAAGGCTGTGCTCTCTCTGGACAAGATTGCCAAGCGCGAGTGCAAAGTCCTGGTGGTGGAGCCTGTAAAGTAGCACTTTGCCGGCTCTTATACTCCCAGAAATCGAATGCCTCTGGAGGGGGTCCTTGTTCCAGACTGTGCCTCCTTAGGGATGCCTCCCACTGTGGGTGAGGAGGCCGCAGCCTGTCTGTGTCTGCTGAGGGAAAAGCTGTGAAACGGGCGGGTGTGGCTGCAGCACTAAACCAACAGTATTTCCCTGACTTCCTGGGAGGGCTGGTCCCACCCCTTGGTCAGGGCAAGGGTTCCAAGAGCTCCCTTGTTTCCCCGCCTTGCTCCCTGGTTCTAAGTTTACAAAGTGTTTTCTCATTCCTATTAAGTTGTCTTTCCTGCCTCTGAAATCCCCCCTCCCCCCTCCTGAGGGCTGAGACTCGAGGGTGGTGATGGTAAAGGGACCCAGACAATGACCCTCCTGTCTCAGAGGTGAGGGGAGATAGCTAGGTGGCCTCCTCCTGCCCCTCATGTTTACGTTTGCAGCCTGAAGCACTTTAAGTTGTGTGGGTTTTGTTTTTGTTTTTTGTCTGTCCCTGTAACTTATTCTCCAACTACTGCTTCCAACTGAAGTAAGTCTATTAAATGCCTGTTGAGGAGGGAGAATGACTGTTGTTTGTGTGTTGGTGGAAGGAGCAGAGACCAGAGCTCAGAATGATTCCCTTCAGCATGCATACCAAATAGCTCCTGTCTGCTCCCTTCCCCCATTTTTTTTCTTTTGATTCTCAGTTTGATATGCTCAGAGATAGCCTAGCTCCACCAGTTTGGGCTGAATTACATGACTTTCCTCTTAAAAGGCAGAAGACATGGGTGTAGCACCTCCCAACCCCCATACACACATCCCTGGGTCTGGGAACAGCAGACATGTTTATTAGGAGAGAGGGAGGCCCCCTTGTCCTCCCTCTTCTGAACACAGCGCAGTCACCAAGCCTCTCCCCCTTCAG